GTTCTTAGTTTCTGTTTGTTCTACCCCTACCTGCCCTGCATCAAAGAATCACAGCAAGCAAATCCTACCCCAAGCCTTGGAAAATTTTGGTGAAAGGTATCATAAGGAAGAACTCCACAATTTCATCCCCCTCAATTGAGTGGTCTTAGTACTAAAAGTATACCACCTAATGTTCTACCAGTTAAATTCTTATATAGGCCATACAAAGTCTGAATTCTGTGATATCCTTCTGTTTTACCTGTCTTCATTCATTGATGTGTGTGCACAGTTGTACGTTATGCCTTTTTTTTTTTTTTTTTCCTTTTCCTTGGGGAAAAATTTTCAAGTGACTCCTATATCTTTACATATGACACATGGTTGCAAGGAGTTGATGTTTATTCTTCATCTCCTTATCCTTTTTTTTTTTTTAATAATTATTATTATTTTTTATTTTTTTGATAAAATGCAAATTTTATTTATCCAGAAACTAAGCTTACAGCAAAGCAGAAAAACTGGCTGCTACATGGGAAATACACTGAAAATATACAATACTGTAAAATATGCTTTAAGGCTAAAACTTCACAACAGCTTCAAGTCCCCATTTCACTGCAATATCTTTGGGCTAAATATACTGTTTATTCTTCATTGCCTTATCTTTTGACATAGGTCAAAAAGCTTTGCCCTAATGATCCTGATGCTAGCAAGAAACTAAAGGAATGTGAGAAAGCAGTGATGAAATTAAAATTTGAAGAAGCAATTTCTGTGCCCGAGTCAGAGAGGCGGTCAGTGGCTGATTCCATTGATTTCCATACCATAGGTATATTATTTTTCTTTTATATGTTGATGTTGCTAGTTTTGTTTTATGGTTGTTTGTACATTCAATCTCCCTTGTAGAAACCAAATTCTGGGGTAATACTTACTTCCATTTATGTTTCTCCAAATGTTCAAAATCTTGCAACTTTATGATATCTGCTTTCATATTTTTATTGTGTGCTTCTATGAAGTAAACAAGATGTTCCCCTGTCATTCATAAACAAACAAAAGTTGCAGAATTTTCTTGTGGTGGGTCCTTTAGCATGTTGCCTTGTGTATTTTGTCCAATATATAGTTAGGTACGATCTGGGTGCTTTAGGTGGGTTATGTTAATATGGACATTTCATTTTTGTTCATAGAAGTGGGAGATGTGGTGTTGAAAGTTCAATCTCCTTCTGAAGATGTTGTGTTAGTTAATGCAATCATTCAATCCATTCATCTTATGCATTTGGTGGGTGATGTGATATTAATAATGGTTATGCTGCAAAAGCTTTTATATACTAGATTACTGATTGGAAAAGCAGCTAAAAGAAAGATTGAGGATAAGCTAACTGAAATTTGAGAAGTTGGGTAATTGGTGACTGTTGTGCAGTCACAATTGAACCCATGGGCAATAGCCTTTTGGGCTGAATTGGTTTTTTATGTACCTGCTTTATATTACAAGATGATTATTAGCTAGTTATTTAGGTTTTTTTAAATGCTTTTCTAGTCAGGTAATACATTAGGTAGCAGTTGTTGCTGAAGTAGGACTGGTCTATCTTTTAATGATTTTTTACTCAGTTGCACATTGAGCTCTGAAAGTGTATCATAACAAATGTGGCTAGTTGAGGTAAATTGGTAGAACCAAGATACCTTAAGAAATATGAGTTATTGATCTATCGGTTTAACCTCTTAGGTTAAGTGGTTTTGACCCAATATTGACCTAGTGGTTTAGAGTTCAAACTGTAGTGTCACTCTTTCAGTTCCAACTTCCAATAGAAGATAATCATTGAAAACCTGTATTTGCAAAGGATCAGTGGCATGCAAATGACAGGATTTGTTAAGAAATATATGGTCAGTCAGACTGTTAACATCAACTTAAGCTTTTGGGTTTGACTTTTATGGATGGGGTCAAATGACTAAGGCAGGCCTAGTGCAGTATTTTCTACTAACACAGGGCCTTTCTTGGACATGATTATCAATTGCAAAGGATTCTTTCTCTCGGTCAGTGGTTGGGCCCCCAAAAATGTCTTTATGAAATCTGGCCATATTACTTGATCAAATTACTATTATGAACTCTCAAATCATCTCCGCTTTGTCCTTTCCTGGAGCTCATAAAGAATACTGTAATGCTTCTATATGGTGCAAAGGAATTGGAGGTTTTACTTTTTCTTTAAAGAAACCTTTTATGTTTTATTGAGCCAATTCTAATACATATGGGAAGTCCACAGGTTTTGTAATTTCTGTTGAGTAACTTGTATCTGAATTTCATTTGTGGTTTCAACTAATCTTCAAACCAAAGGTTTTTTAGTGTAATTTTCCTTCTTGAAAAGTTTTGCTGCATCTGGTGCTTGAGCTTATTTAATCTTTTCCAACAGTAACTCCATTTAGATGTCTTCCTCGAGACTTTTAAGCTCTTTGATCTAATCATGTTGGCTCAACCGTTCCCTTATGTTTAAGTCAAGCCTGACATCCAGCTTTAGCTGTTTATGTTGTTAGAGTTGGTTCATGCTTCCACAGAGCTTGATCTTTCTTCATTCCTGAATTATTTAGTGATTATTTATTTGTATTACATGGTATGGTAGTTTATGGTTAACCAACATCAAGTACATTATTTTAACCTATTCTATCATAATAGGAACGAGTCCCAGTTCATCATCCATGCCTACCCAAGTGGCTGTAGCAGCAGTTGCAGTGGTATTGTTGGCGGCACTGGTGATGATGGTGGGGAAAGCAACAACCACTATGGTGGTAGCTATAGTGGTGGTGGTTCTAGGGGCATGTTGGTGGGGTGTTTCAAATGGTAGTGGAGTCTTTACTGAGAGTCAAATGCTTGACCTAGATTTTAGCTCAGATTAAAATTAATGAACTAAGGCCATAATCAATTCTTGTAATTGTAGCAATTAATCAGAAGATTGATACATTTGAAAATTAATTAATCTGTTTTAAGTTGGAGAGTCCTTAGACAAACAATTTAGTTTTAATTTAACATTTAAGTGAGGTTTGTTTGTTTCTTTTCCTTTTTTCCCCTCACTTTTTATTTTTCATACTCTAGTGTTTCTATCTGTTTTAATAATTTAATGTTAGGAAATATATGCCATTAGCCATCTTGCATTTTCACATTGCTATAATTATAATGGCATATGAGAATTTATAATGCGCTTGATAAAGTTGCTAAAGTAATGGGGTAACTTGGAATTTTTTACTTATAAGTCTCTGAAACCCCCGTCTACCGTCTGGATGTGATGTGAAATTTACCTTTATTTATGCATCTATTTTGTCCAAGGAAATCTCTTCATGTTTTGTTTGAAGTGATTCTGGGTTTATTTGAGAGATAGTTACTGATTATATATTTTAAATGGTGTCCTGAATTATAACTCTCACACTTCTGTATTTCAGCCTCATGACTTATTGAACTCATATTTCTTTCCTCTGGATCAACTCTTATTTGATTTCTCCTTTGATGAATTTTAGCCTGATCATGGGATGTTTTTGTCGTCCTCTAAGAGGTTAATGATATTTCTTATGTTTCCATTGTAGAGGTGGAGCCACAATACACTGGGGCAAGGATAGAGGGGGATGTTGTTACTTTGGATTTTGTTAAGAAAATGATGGAGGATTTCAAGAATCAAAAGTATTTACACAAAAGGTATGTAGGAAGCCCACTTAAGGATTGTGCCAGATATAATAATTTGTGTGAACAGAAATACATATAACGTATAAATGTGTGTGCGCACATGCATGCATGCATGTATGTATTTGTGTATGAATGTATGCATTTATGTTTGCTTTTCTGAACCATCTGTTATTGGTGCAGATATGCATTCCAGATTGTCTTACAAACAAGAGAGTTGTTGCAAGCCCTGCCTTCTCTTGTTGATATTAATGTTCCTAATGGCAGTCGCTTTACTGTTTGTGGAGATGTACATGGTCAGGTAATTGAATCCTTTGATATTTCTTACCTCTTAATGACAATAAAAGCTGCTGAACTCGACAGGATGCTTTCTTAGTTGGAATTAAGGTCAATGTATGAGTGCATTGCTTGGTAATTAGAAAAATGGCATACAAGAATTCACTAGGTAGTTTTCTTAGTCATTATCTTGTAATTGCATTACTTCTTGATGTATTACCATTACTTTCTTGTGTTCCATCTCTTCTGCAACTGTGTTAAATGTAGCTTGGAGTCTGGCTAGTTGATTAAATGCTTATTCTTTTTCTTATTTTACATTTGATGCTTATTTGTTAACATGCTTATGCTTTTTTTTATTGGTTGCAGTTCTATGATCTGCTAAATATTTTTGAGCTTAATGGGCTGCCCTCGGAAGAGAATCCATACCTGTTCAATGGTGACTTTGTAGATAGGGGATCCTTTTCTCTGGAGGTCATCCTCACGTTGTTTGCATTCAAGTGCATGTCCCCATCAGGTGAGCCTTGCTCAGATATTCTCGGCCTCAGATTATGTACAGGCCTTTGCAGTTACAATGCTAGTGACTCAATCACACTTGCGAATTGCCAATTTCTCACTGGGATTTTGTGGGTCTACATCTGAGTATTTCTTCACTTCTTTTATCTCTATTGCCTTTTGCTTATTGTGGTTACAACTTCACATGTATTGCTAATGCAGGGTCATATTTGTACTTTTCTTTTGCCACATGCTCTATAGCCTTGTTGGTTGTCCCCAGTAAAACTCTTTGACTGATGTGTGCCAAGCCACATTAGAAATGGGCTAAAAAACTAAAAGCTGTTGCTTGCTTGGCTAAAATCCTTGGTGCTAGAGATGCCCATGATCTGACCTACAACTATAAGCAATCTCTTCCCACATCAAATCCACTCTGTTATGTCACTCAAATCCCCATTGTTTGTTTCTTACCCGTGACTCAGAATAAAAACCACATACACCATGACCATGCCTATTTCACTGTTGACCCCCATGATTACTCTAATTGGGCAGCCTTCAATGTTTTCTAGTACTACTAGGACCACTCGGTTACTTGATCATAAAATGTAAGTAAAACCACCAACATGATTGTCAGATTAGCCGAAATGAAGGAGACAATCTTGGAATTTAGTAAGGTTGTGGGAGGCAAAATGTTCCAATAGAATAAAAAAAAGGAAAAAATCAGTATGTGCTTTGGTGCTTTGAGGTGAGGGGAAGATATAAGAAAATAGAGGAGAGAGTGGGGTTTATTAAGCTAATTTTAATTATTCTTACCATCAAAAAGAATTTCTTAGGCTTATACATAACTTTATCTACATTACATGTTATATCTTCCATTCTTTTATGCTGGACATGAAGTGTATGTGATTGCTAGGTTCTTCCTAAATCTGAATTCATGATTTATTATTGTCTGTTGAGTATTATATGGTTGTGGTGTTGATTTGAGCTTTTCTGCATTTGCTGCCTGGAAAATTTCAGCTATCTATCTTGCTAGAGGAAATCATGAGAGCAAGAGTATGAACAAGATATATGGTTTTGAGGGTGAGGTTAGGTCGAAGCTGAGCGAAACATTTGTAGAACTCTTTGCAGAAGTATTCTGTTGTCTACCATTGGCTCATGTAATAAATGAGAAGGTTTTTGTAGTTCATGGTGGTCTTTTCAGTGTTGATGGGGTGAAACTGTCTGATATCCGAGCAATTGATCGATTTTGTGAGCCTCCTGAAGAAGGTAAAGGCATACATGTGGTTTCCTTGTGTTCCTTCTCCAACCATTTTTCAGGTTTATGTGATGTTTGGATGCAAATTTGTGCATTATGCATTAGCAATTGATGATTTTTCTGTATCATTTTAGCAACTGATATGTTTTCATTTAATTGGTGATAAAATTCTTAGTTCTTAAACATAATTTAACACGCAACCACTGTCACACAAAAACGTTTTGCACTCAATTATTATTTCACCTGGCAGGAGAGAAGAACATTGAAGACACACACAAACACATGTATATATATAGTTTGCAAAGAATACTGAATAGATTGCAAGACTGAGACTAGCACTTATGTAGTTTCAATAATTTAGTACTTAGACATGGTTTTTGAAGAATTATTTTGCTTAGTGTCCACTTTCAAAAATGAGTCAGATTCTGTAGATATTGTTATAAAAGGGTTTCTTGTCTGATTCATCAGGACTAATGTGTGAATTGCTATGGAGTGATCCACAACCTTCCCTGGGAAGGGGTCCTAGTAAGCGAGGAGTTGGTCTTTCCTTTGGTGCAGATGTGAGTATTTTTCTGCTACGGCAAGTAGTTTTATTCTTTCGAATATTTAACTTACATGTTTAATTCAATTGGCAGATTTAGTTGTTCGGTCTCATGAAGTAAAAGATGAAGGTTATGAGATTGAGCATGGTGGTAAATTATTACTGTATTTTCTGCACCAAATTATTGTGATCAGGTAATGAATTGTTGATTTACTATAAATGTGATCGTTATTTTCTAGCAAATCTACCCAAGGGCTTTGTGTGATTACGCTTTTATGCAACTCTGTATTGGTAGAGTGGAACTAAAGCATATTTTTTGTTACTTTATCATTCATTGCATAGAAAATCAAAGGGTATGGTTTTACAAAGTAGCTCAGCAAAGGGTAAAAGTCAGATTTCATCTTGAAATGTAGATTCATGTGTTAATTGTAGCAGTATGCCTGCTACAGAACTGTTCGCCCTTTTTTTTTTTTGGTTATTAATGAAAACTTACCACATTAAGCTTGAAGCTCGTTGGTTATTCATTCCTTTTCTAGTTACTACATTTGTTATTATGATTCTAGATATAATTGGTAACATGGTTCTGCAATCTGTTTCTGCAGATGGGCAACAAGGGTGCTTTCATTCGTTTTGAAGCTCCTGATTTGAAGCCAAACATTGTTACATTCTCGGCAGTGGTGAGTACCTTTGCATTGTGATATCCCTTTTTAAACTTTCAAATTGCACATCATAACACTCTGTAACAATACCTTTCTGTTTGTGAATGACAGCCTCATCATGATGTCAAGCCAATGGCATATGCAAACAACTTTCTTCGGTTGTTCCAATAACTTACATATTTGTCTTGAATGATCTATCTTCTATGGTTTGGGGGACACAAAAGCTCAACTGCTGAACAGTAAGTTGCTTGAGATAGAGAAATAGTGCTTGTTGCCAATGCTGCTTTGACTAATAGTTTTTCCTTTCAAGGAATCCCTTGGAGGTACATTCTTTCTACTACTTTTCGTTAGTTAGGAAGTTCAGGCATTTCATCCATTGTTGAAATTTTCCTTTGATGTCAATCAGAAAGGAACCTGATGGTGCCTTGTAAAATGTATGACCCCTTTTTATTTTTGTGTCTATAACATTTGTTCCTTTTTATCCGAACAATAAATTTGGTGTGTTTCTATGTTTGGTATGCATTTTTCTTGCTTAAGTTTTGTATTGCTGCTGGTTTGACGGTGAGGGATAGAAATCTTGTCCCCATTTTTAATAAAGTTTACGGTGCTTCAAGCAATCGAGTCTCATGCGGATTCCTTTTATAGCTATTAATAACCTCTTAACTATGAAAATTGGGTTTTAACTCAAGGTACCAAGTGTAGGTATTTGAGTATTTAGGTAAGTATTTAGGTAAGTATTTAGTGTACAGAATTATATTTAAAAAATTTTAAATCAGATATTAAATATATTTTATACTCGACCTATTCACCCCAAAGCCCAAACTATTATTCCTAAGCCCATTCAACCAAACTATTCACCCCTAAGTTCATTCTTGATCTATTGATTGTTTCTGTTTATTTTTCTTTAATTTTATCAGTAAATA